TTCCGGCCGCCTGGGGGACGCGCGCGGCTTCCTGGTCAGCGACGACCTGCTCGAGCATGAGGACAGCGAGAAGCTCGTGGCCGGCGGATTGCCGTTCGAGCGACTGCTGGAGCCGACGGCAAGGCTGGCCGCGCGGCTGCACGCCGCGGGGCTGCACCATCGCGATCTGTACCTGTGCCATTTCTACGCCAACACACAGGCCTCGACTCCGGCCGATGCGGTGGACCTGGTGCTGATGGATGCCGGCCGCGTCCGCAAACTGCCCTGGCTTTTCAAGCAGCGCTGGATCGTGAAGGACCTGGCGCAGTTCCTCTACAGTACGATGTCGCTGAAGGTCACCGATGCCCAGCGCGACCAGTGGCTGCGTGCGTATGCCGAGGCGCGGGGGATCCCGATGACGTTTCGCCCGGTCATCGACCGCAAGGCGGCCGCCATTGCCCGGCACGATGCCCGTCTGAAACGCGATCAACCCGATCGCAATGTCTCGATTCCCCGATGAAGGTGCTCCTGGTCATCCTCCATGCCGATCCCTCGCGCGGCGGGGCCGAGGCCTACACGATCCAACTGCTGAACAAGCTGCGGGAGATGGGGCACGAGGCGCGGATCGCCGCCAGCACGTTCCATCCGACGATCCCGGCCGAGTGGCGCGTGCCGCTGAAGCACGAGGGCCTGACGCGCACCAGCCGGTACGCCTGCTTCCTCGACGCGCTGGATGAGCACCTGGACGCGACGTCCTACGACCGGATCCACGCCATGCTCCCGGTGCGCCGCTGCGACCTGTATCACCCGCATGCGGGCGTGGCGGCGATCCTGCCGGCCGGCGTGTCGCGGTTCTTCAATCCGCGCCCGCGCCGGTTCGCGGCGATCGAGCGCGCCCTGCTGGAAGGCGATCGGTCGCCGGTGGTGCTGTCGCTGTCGAGCTATATCGACGCGCAGTTGAAAAAGGCCTACCCGGCGACGCCCCTGCGCATCGAGCGCTTGATGAACGCCGCCGATCTGGGGCGGTTCGATCCCGAGCGGGTGTCGGCAGTCGAACTGCCCATTGCTGCACCGCGGGCGCTGATGATCGCACAGGACTTTGCCCGCAAGGGGCTGTCGCCGACGTTGCGGGCGATGCAGGCCGTGGAGGCGGTGTCGCTGGTGGTGGTCGGCGGGGATGACCCGGCGCCATACCGAAAGCAAAGCGAGCCGTTCGCATCCCGCGTCCATTTCGCCGGATTGACGTCCGAGGCGCCGCGCTACTACCGCGCGGCCGATTTTTTCGTCCTGCCGACCCGGCACGACCCCTGCAGCCTGGTCGTGCTCGAGGCGCTGGCGATGGGGTTGCCGGTGATCACCACACGGCAGAACGGTGCGGCCGATGTCATGACGCATGGGGTACACGGATTCATCCTCGACCATGCGGACGATCCACCGGCGCTGGCCGAGGCGCTGCGTTCGCTGGCGGACGATTCGACGCGCAATCGCATGCGCCG